TTCACTGTTCCTCTTGGCAGGCCATGTCATAATTTCTGAGGAGTCATCGTAAACCACCTTCTCTTCATGATGACAAAAGTATATCATCTGCCAGAGTAAATATGGGTGCTTCATTACAACATGTGTGCTGCTAGAAAATGTTCTGCATGTTGTATTTCTTAGTGTGCCACTAATATAATAGGAATAGGTCCATCAAATATCTGTGTTGCGCACACACTAACTGGAAATTTTTTCTTGAAAGCTGGACTATCCCCCCTGTGCTTTCAGATACCTAAGAGCTCCGTTGAAGCAGATCGACGGCTCTTTTAATAGAGCCTAATATTTCCCACAATGGTCAACTAGATATCTCTAGTAAACCCATTGCTGGATCCATGAAGAGCTTGTGTTTCACAGTTTAAACCATAAATCTATTTTTGGTCCATTCTGGTCAAAGGCTGTCATGAACTCCATGAAGGCTGCATAAAGCTACTTGGGTTCCTTGGCATATTTGCCAATTAAATGACTAAATAAGAAGCCCCTTGCCTAAAGCCTGCCTGTTTCTTTTGAGAGAATATTTCTTCAGCCTAGTGTTAGAAACTCAGAAATATAAGTTAATCACCAAATGGCAACTTAAACCTAGGTTATGGTCACCATAATGGAATGTATAGGGAAGCTTTTAATGTTTGATGTTTTACTGTGTTTTTAATATCCTGTTGGGAGCCTCCCAGAGTGGCTGGGGAAACCCAGCCAGATGGGCAGGGTATAAATTTTTATATATATATATATATATTATACACACACACACACACACACACACACACACACACACACAGAGAGAGAGAGAGAGGGGGGGGGTACCTTTTTCCAGTGAAATTTGTTGTTATTTATTTCATTTTTATACCACTTTATATTTTAAAGAACAAATCTCAAAGTGGTTTACAACACATTAAAACATCACAGAAAACAATCAGAAATAAAACAATTCCAAGCTTCGAGGGAAATATTTCAGATCCTTCTCTAAGTGACATTTTGCTTTCCTCAGTCGCCAACCTGGCATTATGTGATCTCCGCGTGGTCGCAATTGGACCCACGCCAGTCGCAAATTGTGCCTTCTGCCTGGCTAATTTCTAATGCTGAAATCAGCCCAGTATTTGAGCTTATTCAGAAAGAAGCTTGAACATGATTTTTGAGACAATGTTTAACAGATTTAGTAGCTTGTAATTTTGGAAGGCATTTTAAATCACACACACCCCCTCCTTAAATTTTGGAGCTGTAGCATTTCCCAACCTACTTCTTTCTGACCTTCTAATCAGTTTTCTAAGATTACGTATTGTGCCCAAGTTTTAGTTTCTCTGTAAATCCTTTTTTTTAAAGTTAAAACGATTAGCATCATTTGCACATGCAGATTGTTGTATCGAAACCATTTGACAAGTGGCATTCATATCACATGAAACAGAGAATTTGCCTTCGTACGTTCTCTACCCCTTGTATCGTCCCTAACGTTGATTTTATTATGGGAATAGATGAGATTTCCTGTTGTGCTAGGACAGGTTGGTTCCTTAGACATCTTTTGCTGTTTGTATCTGCAAATCGACCAGACGGTGACTAATACTGAGGGAGATTCTTAGAACGAGGGGGCATTGTTTGAAGAGCAAGCATGTGTAATACTATTTTGTTAGTCACCGTTCTCACAGCACTGTCAGCCTAAATTACCGTCAACCCCGTATTGCCCTTCCTTCCCTTGCTTTTAGCTTTGCGATGTCAGTTCAGATGTTTGCGTTAGGCAAGTAGGCCAAAGTAGATTACTGTACTTCATTGTTCAAAGACTGCTCTAATAAGTAGATTAGGTTCCCATAATGAAGGATTGTTCTGGCTGCTGTCTTAGTGTAGCCTGGGTGATAGGCAAAAGAACACCCTTCTAAAAGCCATTTAGCACTCTAGTGATAGGAAGGTTCAAAGCAGTTGAGGAGACTAGTCTGGAAAAGGCCTTTTGAGATCAATACCAACTATGAGGTATCCTGTTTCTTCTACTGCCCAGTGCGCTGCTTAGTAATATATCATTGCTGCTCACCAGCCTTTAATTAGGGAAGAGGGGAATGGAAATAACCTTTTTAAAAATAAAAAAATGAAAAATGAAACAGTTGGGACCCAAAAGTATGTAGCCTGAAGAGAACGGGTGGTTAACTTAACAGGCCACTGTGTTCTCGCATGCTTTTTATTTTTAGCTTGCAGCCTTTATGAAAACCCTTCAAGCCAAATTGGTCATTTCTGCTATGGTTCTGCTAAGTCTCTGCGTCTTCACACAGGGCCATAGCTAGGGGGTGGTGAGGCAATGGGGAGGGCGCAAAATTGGCTAAAAATATGTCTGTAAATATAAATATTGATTAATGCCTCATAGGAAATGGTTTTAAATAGAGGGTAAATTGAATGGGTGGAAGGGGGGGTTGGAGGAGAGGAAGAAAGAAGAGCTAATTTGTCCATGGCTGGGGGGGACGCAATCTGGACGGTTCTGCCAGGGGCGCAAGGTCACCTAGCTACGGCTCTGCCTCCGCGTGTGTGTTTGGATGCAAACCTCTAAATATTTACTCCATCGGTTGACCTGACTTCTTAATTTCTAGATTCTTATGAAGGGTTACAATTGTGTCTGCCCAAAAGAATGAGACTTGTATTGCTTTATTTATTTATTTAACAAAGTTTCATTGTAATTTTAAGCAAGCTTTCCAGGCTTCACTGAACTCTTTAAAAAAAACAAAAACATTTTCCTAAAACTCTTCAGATAGGAAGAGCTGTAATAATAAAAAAAAAAAGCTTTCATTTCTCACGTTTGGGCACGTGTTGTATGATTGTGATTTTATGTGAGATGAGTTGCTTCTAATGACAAGAGATGCAAAAGTCAAAGGACAAACTCTTAATTACTGTACTTAATATACGGTACTGTATAAACATTACAAAGGAGAATCGTTACAAAGGGGTTATTGGTTTGTTGTTTTTATTTTGATTATATATTTTGTGGTTTTATATTTTGATTTTGTTCTGTGAACCGCCCTGAGACCTCTAGGCATAGGACAGTATAGAAATTCAATAAATAAATAAATGCACAAGTCTGTTCACTGGGGTTCCACCTCTAAACTCATTTCATTTGCTATTAATTTGTATACTTCATTTCTATATTACCATACACAGTTTACAAGAAGTAACAACAAAATAGGCATTCCTGGATCCGCCCCCCCACCCTTGACACTGCTGTTTGCACCATACACAACCCTTCTGCATGCATGGCTGTGGGAAGATTTATCAACAGTGTTCGGATTAGCAATATTTCATCAAATCTTTTCCCTTTTACTGACGAGTTTCTTAGTGGTTCGTAACTTAAAATCAGAGTCCTTGACAGCTAAAGACTAATATACCGTATTTTTCTATCTATAAGACGCCCCCATGTATAAGACACCCTCTATTTTTGCGGCAACAACCAATCACCAGTCCCCCCTTGGCACTATCCGTGTATAAGATGTCCCCTAATTTTCGACATTATTTTTTATGAAAAAAATCTAGTCTTATACATGGAAAAATACGGTACTTCTCCAGCTCTGACTTGTTCACTTGAGTAACAGTTTGCTGATGCTTGACATCTCCTAATTTCCATGTAGAAGCTTCCTTTTGCAATGAGCTGAGAATGCTTATCAGTATCCCAGTTAACAGTTTCAAATATAGCCAAGGCAATGAACATGGAAATTACCTTTGTAGACTTTCTTCCAAGTCTCTTAGGGCTACATGAATATTAAAATGCCTGAATTGAAATTAGTGTTTGTTAAGAACAATTTAATTCCAGCCAATTTCCCCCTCATTAAATTAACCCAGTGTGTTCCACATCTGCATTGTTTGCATGACTATCATTCAGGGAAACTGTCTCAAATGTCACCTAGTGACTTCAGTGGAACTGACTTCCAACATATTTGGAAGGATGTATGCCCACAGGTGGGGAGCCTTTTGGGTCCATGAACCAGATATTTTTCAGGCCCTGGCCCCACAGTCCAAACCTGACAGGTGAGTGAAGCTGCCCACCCATCAATTATCTGGTGTCACAATGATATAAGATAACTAGGTGCTTTGAAGTCCCAATGTCAGGACTTCAAAGCACTGCTCAGGGATTTCAAACTCCTGAGGCTTTTTTCCAGGCATCGGTTATGTGAGCAAGTTCCATTGCAAGGAACTCTCTTGCACAGGCAATCTTCACAGAGGGGAATATGGTGTGGGCTTTGTAGGCCTGCAGAGTACTTTATGGTCATCAACAGTCTTGGGAGTCCAAGGCCTCTTCAACATCAGAAATCTATGTCATTGGGGATTCTGTTTTCATCAGTAAATGGAGAACCAAAGTTCTTATGTCCCTCAAAAACCTGGCAGGAAATGATCTTTCAGAGTGGGCCTCTGGATTTCCCAATTGTTGGTCAAATTAGGGAAGTGAAAAAGAATCAATTTAAAATGAACTTCTGGGAAACCTTTCAAGAGCAATTTGCTGAAATCATGAGGTATAGTAAGTAGCAGGAGAAAACAGAAGCATTGCATTTTGGTTGACATGTTCAAAGCAACTATAGGCAAAGGAACACTGGCAGGGTTGTCTGCTTTTGACAGGAGGAAGGAGAGAATAAGCAAATTTGTTCTAACTGGTTTGGTGTGATGTTTTGAATTGGCAAACCATAGTTACAGCCATCTGTCTGCCTTGAGAAATTTGCTGTCCCAAGGACATTAGAAGTGCAGAAAGAATAGTGCTTTAGAAGTTCAAACCATGGTTTGGATTCTAAGCTATAGCTAGTGCAAAGCACGGTCTAGTACAGTGTTTGAATTAAATTTTAAAAAACAACTGACCTCTTCCATCATCTTAATATCCTGTACAATTATAAGGTTGCAGTTTGAAGAGCACATAAGCTACTTAAGAATAAGAACAGCAGATGTGAAATTTGAAAGCTTCTGTCACCTTAAAAACCCTGACACCCATTCATCTCCTCTTTTCCCCTTGATTCCAGTTTGGTGCAGAATTTCGAAGGTTTTCCCTGGATCGTTTCAAACCAGGGAAATTTGAAGACTTCTACAAACTGATTCTTCACATCCACCACATATCCAACATGGAGGTGATGATTGGTTATGCCGATATACATGGAGATCTCCTTCCTATTAATAACGACGACAACTTCTTCAAGGCTGTTACAAGTGCAAACCCGCTGCTTAGGATTTTTATACAAAAGCAAGGTAAGATTAAATGATCACTCATCTGCTGAATACATAAACTCCTCATTTTTTCTTACTGATTTCTAGATTTTGAAAACCCCTGTGGAGAGTAGAATCCTGTTTGTATTGGCTCCTCAACCTGGATATTTGAGTGGGGTGGGTAAGTTGTTGTTAGGGAAATAGCAGAAATATATCGCAATAAGGCACAAAAGACTGCAGTGCATCAGCATATTTTAATAGCATGCACTCAAAATAATTTGCATATTCCTTTCATTAATATGACAAGCAGCAAGCTGTCGTTAGAGATGCTGCTCGTGTATTACTGTTTGGAAAATTCCTTCCTTTATATGTAGAAAATGTAAGTTGGCCCTTAAGAAATCTGAAATAATGGCTGAAGATCAAAGAAGGTTGGATGCCCAGCCAACAAGATTTGTTTTGCTTCTTTCACTATGCATCAGCTCATGAGAGATGGGGGTGGGAATTCAAGGCTGCCAGTACTCCAACTTCTCCCTGCAGCCATAATATTTGGGAGCAAAATGTATGCTAGGACTCTTTTATTTTTAACAGGTGTCTCTTTTCTACCATATATGGAGGCTCTGTTTCGCCCTCTTCTGCATTAGCAGTCCCTACTTAGCATGGTTTGGTTGCCTAATATATCTGTTCTTAAAATTTATTAAGTAACAGGGCAATCCTATATATATATATATATTTACTGAGAAATAAAAGGCACCGAGTTCAATAGGCCATACTGCCAGCGGTGACTTTAACATATGAGAGTGATGGGGGTGAAATAGTTAAACAGGTTACCCAATCAGAACCCAGGGGGTGGAGTCAGAGGGACTATAAAACCAGCTCTGGGAGGGGCGAAGGGGGGAGTTCGTTGGGAGTTGGGTGGTTGGTTGGAGTGGGAGTGAATTGGGATAGAGTCTGTGGATAGGTTGAGTTAGTGTAGCGAAATAAGCTGAGTCAGGAACAGTTAGGAGTTAGGAAGACAAGTAAATATCTGAGAGATGGTTTAGTGAGTGAGAGCAGGTAGCAGAAGTTATAGGTCTGGATAGGCACCCCATGATTGTAATTGACTGAGATCGTTTATGAAACCACACGCTTGTTAAACTGCAATAAATAAACAGAAGTTTATGTTCCGATTTAACCCTGACTGGACTCAGTATTTTACCAGGTAGGGCCTGGGTGGTGGCAGCGAGAAATAAAGTGGTGGCACAGGGATCAATAGATGGTGAAACGTCCGGGGACCTTGTGTGATTGCCACACCAGCCATATAGGATTGCAGCTTAAAGCATGTTAGCAGTTCGAAACAGGATTGCTGAAGCATATTTAAGCTGCTGTGTTCCAAAGCTTGCTTAAGAAGCAAGTGACTTTGAAACAGAGCCAAAGGCAGGGCAGGCAGCCTTGAAATAACTAATGTAGTAAGAAAAATGAAGCAGCACAATGGAGAATAAACTCTTAAAACAGAATAGAGTAGAAATAGCAGGAATAACAAACAAGACAGATCACTCTGGGGAGCTTCTCACAAATGCTCAGATGTTGCGAGACTGGCATCGTGCAGCGTGGGGCCTGACAGGCCTCATAAGGACTGCTGCTGCCCAGCAAGGACTGGGGTGTCTTGGGAGAAGTTTCATTGGAAGTTTTTGCTGTTGTTACTGATATTAACTTTTTGCATCTTTATTTTTATGTGGAAATTGTTCAGTTTGGTTATATAGTTTTTAATGTGTTTTATTTGTTTTTATGACTACTTTGCTATATTTGTAATTATGTAAATCTTTTCATATTGTAAGCCGCCTTGAGCATTGTTTTAACTGTGGGAAGGCAGCATACTGTACAAATAAAATGATGATTATGATGATGATGTCAATCTTTACTCATACAGATTGATTTTGATGTAGGGTAGTCAGACTTTTTGCAACTGGAGTGTGCAAAAGTTTGTATTGGTCCAAAACCACCGCAGTTTTATTACATGATGATACATGGGGTACTGGATTGGGTACCATTTTCCTGGATTCTGTACCTTAGTCACAAATGACTAATACAGGTATGTGTCTGTGTTGGCAAATGGGCCCTTAGCTTTGAATTTAGAAGCAAACCTTGAATCAGAAGGAATTATATCTAATTTTCCTGTGCCAGCACCAGTTCAGATTTTCCTGTGTTTATGTATCAATTCTCCTTTGTAAATAAAATAAAATAATATAAATAAAATAATAAAATAAAATAAGGGGTTGTTACATCTTAGATAGGGGACTGGCAAGTTTAGAACCAGATGACCTGACATGGAATTGTTACAATGACCCCATTTTTTAAAAAAATGCAGAAAGGGAGTGGTTGGACAAAGTAACTTCATTGCTGTAGAGCCCAGAGTATAAACACTCCTGGGTTTGATAATCATGTTTTGGAAGAGGCGGAATGTTATACTTAAAAATAATCCATTGCCAATATTAAATCTGCTTAGTTGGGGAAAAATAAAATGTATCTTCCTCTGTTCCACTTTCCTATTCCCCTACAAGCCATTATAATATTACAGCTGCAGTGTCCCAACTTCACAGCTTCAAATACAGAACCTATTAAACTTTGGCGTTTGGTGTGTGTGTGTGTGTGGAAGGGCAGGTACTTTGCACAGGCCTGCAATAGGCAGTTTGCTCTTTGTGTCTGGGGCTAGAGGACTCCAGGACTGCACAGCAAGTGGGTGTTTCTCTGCAATGCACATCACCACCTTGTTGTCCTTGTTTTTGGCACTCTGGTTGAACAGGTTGTGGCTAGATTGCCATCTTGGACTAGTATCCCTCTCTCTTAAACATCAAGGGCACAGCTGTTCTGCTCTAGGCTTCTTTCTGCTAAGCATGCTGAGCCATCAGTGCTGCTAATCAAAAGGGAAGCATTTTTAGTTTTGTTTTGTTTTTCCCCCACAGGTGGAGAAGCGAATACAATGTGGCACTTGGGCCTGGGTTTAAATCCCTCTTGAGCTAGTTTGGGTGGCCTTGGATCATTCCTATACCCTTAAGTCTTTGTCCCCTCACTTTCCCCCTGCAAAATGGGAATGATGTTTTGCCTCACTGTGACAGTAAAGAATGAAATGTAAAAATCAGCCATGAGCCTTGGGAATAAGAGCAGGAGGCATGCAAATAATACAGGGAATAAGTGAGCCATCCTCCATTGGCCTCTGCTAAGGGTAGAAAAAACCTGGGTCTCTGTACACCTTTGCTTCTGGTTCGCTTCCCCCTAGGCAGGCTGTGATGCAGGTCATTCCTCTTTTTCTAGATCATCACAAGGAGATTTTTCAGTCAGTGCATTGGTGACGATAGGGAGGCTCTGTCAGATCACTGGCTGGTAGGCAGACAAGTGCAAGCTAAGAAGTTTGGTCACTGAAATGCGCAGCATCCATCATCTACTTCCAAGGCCAATGTACAAGAAGAAGAAGAAGAGTTTTGGATTTGATATCCCGCCTTTCACTCCCTTTAAGGAGTCTCAAAGCGGCTAACATTCTCCTTTCCCTTCCTCCCCCACAACAAACACTCTGTGAGGTGAGTGGGGCTGAGAGACTTCAAGGAAGTGTGACTGGCCCAAGGTCACCCAGCAGCTGCAAGTGGAGGAGCGGAGACGCGAACCCGGTTCCCCAGATTAGCAGACTACCGCTCTTTAACCACTACACCACACTGGCTCTCCACTTGTTTCAGATGCTTCTCCTTTCCTTCCTTTTTCCTTCTCTCCTCCATCCACCCTTTGTTGCCAACTTGTTGCTGTTGTTTAGTCGTTTAGTCGTGTCCGACTCTTCGTGACCCTGTGGACCAGAGCACGCCAGGCACTCCTGTCTTCCACTGCCTCCCACAGTTTGGTCAAATCATGTTGGCCAGCTAGTTTATCCCAAACACAATTGTCAGTCTTTCAGTGCAGTGAGTGCTTAAACAGTCCTAAATCGATGCAAATACTAGAATCTCTGCAGAAGCTGCTTAATGTAAGTTTTATACTACATTGGGAGCTGCGAGCTGTTTTTCACATCCTCTTTCTTATCCCATTTATGGATTTCTTGACCTGTCACAGCTTGGAATAGTTCCTAGGTGTATCCTGTCCCAGGTACCGGGCCAGGCCAAGATTACTTTGCTCTTTAGGCAAAGCCACAGCAGATGGCTTCAGGCTACTAATGTTAACTAACGATTACCCACAAACAAAGAGCAATGTTTTAAGTGCAAACTGATACTTCTTGTGTTCCACCTGTGGTGTTATGGATGAGGGATGTTTTCTGGCAGCATCTTCTGCTGGTACCTTTTTTAAAAAAGAGAGAACTGCAGTACCAAACTGAGCAAAGGAAGTATTTCTATGAAAATGTTTTCCCCAGGCCTTTCCATGCTTACTGTAGGATACAAGCTGGGTGTGTACTCTCTGGCTGTTCTCACACTTGTCAGCTCATCAGAGGAGAGCGTGGGGTGAGGAACCCGACATGTTTGTGCTGCTGGGATTGGCAGTGTTGAAAGAATGTTTCCTGTTCCTGTTGTTCAGATCAGTCCGAAAGTGTCCTTAGATGTCCAATGGGAGCCAGTTTTGAATCTGGAAGAAGTAAAGCCCTTGGTAGTGTGGGGGCTGCATTATTGGCATGCCATACAAAGTGGATATCCACAGTGTGCTGAGAGAATCCAGAAGTACTGTATTGGTCAGGCAACCTGGGTGTGGGTATTTAAATATAGATATAGACACACACTCATATACATGCACACACATACAGAGAGAGGATGATTCAGTAATGTGTTCTGGCAACCAGCACACCAGTTTACAGTCGGTTTCATTAGCTTCTCCTAGTTGTCTATTTCAAGCACTGATAATAGTGTACAGGTGCTTTGTTTTTCACAGTAGCCTGGAGGAGAAATCTGGATGACCAATTTTAAGGGAATGCTTGCATAATTGAACACCAAACAGTCAATAAAAGGCAAGCGCTAATTCTGTTGACTTAATTTTCCTCGGCTGAAATAGATATTTCCCGATTGCTTTTCGGAGAAGTGGTTTTAAGGACTAGGCCATCA